ATAATGATAATATGATGGTGATGATGATAATGATGGTGGTGGTGGTGGTTATGATGGTGATAATAGTGATGACAATTATAATGATGTTGCTGATGAAGATGATCATGAAGATGATGTTTGTGATAGAAATTAAAATAATGATAGTACTAATGATAATGTCAACGCCAAATAATCTTTCTCTCCATCTTTTCCCCTTCTTTGTCCCTACTCTTCTCTCCTCTCCGTCTCTTTCATTTTCTACTTCCTCTCCCCCTTTTCCCTTCCTCCGTCTCCCCCTCTCTCTCCCTCCCCTTCTCCCCTTTCTCTCCTTCCCCGTCACTCTCTCCCTCTCCTTCCCTGTCTCCATCCCTTCTGCCTCCCTCGCCTCGCTGTGTGGTGCAGCGGTAGCGATCTCGTCTAGCAATCTTGCTGACCTGCGTTTGAATCCCTCGCCACCAGTGGATGGTAACCCCGGCCATTCCTTGCACACAGGGGATAATTTAGAAGCAAAATAAAACAGACAGTATGTCACACCAAGAATATCCATTGTAACAAATGGAATCAAACTAAATTATTATTATTTTCCGTTGTTTTTTTCTTCTTCCTCACTCTTCCTCCTTCCTTTTCCCCTCCCCTTTTCTCTCTTTCCCTCCTCCCCTCCTTCATCTTCCCCTATCTCTCCCTCGTTTCCCCTCCCTTTGTTCTTTTTTCTCCCCCCTTCTCTCTCCTTCCCTTCTCCTCCTCTTTCTCCCCCTCCACCTCCCCCCCTCCCTTCCTCACTTACCTCCCCCTCACCCCCACCTACCTGCATGTTCTCCCCCATCCTCCTTCCCCTTATTCTTTCCTCTCCCCCTTTCTCTCTCCTTCCCTTCTCCTCCTCTTCCTCCCCCTCCCTCTCCTTCCCCTTCTCTCTCCTTCCCTCCTTCCCTCCTCCTCCTCCCCCCCTCCGTCTCCTTCTCCTCCCCTCCCTCTCCTTCCCCCCCTCCCTCCCCCCCACCTACCTGCTTGTTCTCCCTCATCCTCCCTCCTCCCTCCCTCCCCCCCCACCTACCTGCTTGTTCTTCCTCATTCTCCCTCCCCCCCTCCCTCACCCCTCCCTCCCCCCCACCTACCTGCTTGTTCTCCCTCATCCTCCCTCCCCCCCTCCCTCCCCCCCCCTCCCTCACCCCCACCTACCTGCTTGTTCTCCCTCATCCTCCCTCCCCCCCTCCCTCACCCCCACCTACCTGCTTGTTCTCCCTCATCCTCCCTCCCCCCCCTCCCTCACCCCCACCTACCTGCTTGTTCTCCCTCATCCTCCTTCCCCCCTCCTCCTCCTCCTCCTTCTCCTCCTCCTCCCCCCCTCCCTCTCCTCCTCCTCCCTCTCCCTCTCCTTCCCCTTCTCCCTCCCCCCCACCTACCTGCTTGTTCTCCCTCATCCTCCCCGGGTTCGCAGACTTGAAGACGGCGACGACCTCCTGCTGGACGAGGTAGCGGAGGAGCACCTGAGCCGGCGAGCGTCCGTAGCGAGCGGCCATCGCCAGCACCGTCTCGTCTTCGATGAGCGTCGGGAGCTTCGCGCTTGGGTCGGGATGTGGAAGGAGGGGAGGGGGGTAAGAACGGGCGGGAAGGGAAGAGTGGAAGAGGAGGAAGGGGAAAGGGGAGAGGAGGAAGGGGAAAAGGAAAGGGGCGGTGTTTGCGTGTGATATATATATATATATATATATATATATATATATATATATATATATATATATATATATATATATATATATATATATATATATTTATATATATATATGTGTATATATATATATATATATATATATATATATATATATATATATATATATATATATATATATATATATATATATATACACATATATACATATATATATATATATATATATATATATATATATATATATATATATATATATATATATATATATATATTTATACATATATTTATATATATATATATATATATATATATATATATAAATAAATAAAGATAGATATAGATACAGATAGATATATAGATATAGATGTGTGTGAGTGTGTGTGTGTGTGTGTGTGTGTGTTTGTGTGTGTGTGTGTGTGTGTGTGTGTGTGTGTGTGTGTGTGTGTGTGTGTGTGTGTGTGTGTGTGTGTGTGTGTGTGTGTGTGTGTGTGTGTGTGTACGTGTGTGGATGTGTATATCTATATATATGTATATGTATACATATACAATATATACATATATACATATACACACAAAACCACGCAAACACACAGACAGATAGACGGATACATAGACAGATAAACACGTAAACAGATAAATAGACAGATATACACATGTACCTATATAAAGATTGGCCAAAAAAAAATAGAAACTAACAAACGTTAAACCCAAACAAACGAATTAAACACACACACCCCTCCCCCCGGCCCACCCCTCTCCCACCTACTCACCTAAAAGGAGTCGAAGGTGCCCCCAGCGGAGCATAACCGCACACAGGGATCTGGTGGCGGCCACAGAACTCCCGCAGAAGGCGCT